CCTTGCATTGCTCCACCCTCTCCAATTTCATCTTGTATTGCTGCAAGGACTTCCTTCACTGTGTTTTGTAACCTATGTGGTCTTGATTCTTTGTGTTTTGCATTTCTGCAGTTTTTCGTAAGATGAGGTCGACCTTTATCTCCACATATTTCACACAGTAATTTGTCCGGACAACTTTCCGGTTGATGATCTGTTCTTTTACATATATAACATTCTCTTCTTGTCACCCTAGGTTTAGTGTGATAATGAATTTTTGTTTCCATTCCACTGAGGTTAACCGGGAGTTTTAATTTGGTTGGAATATACAAACACAAACGCATTTTCATGAATCTTTCCCCGGTATCTATTCCATCTTTATCACATTTTCTTTCTATGTTAATACATTCACCATATTTTGACATGAATTTGACAATCTCTTTATTCGGAACTTGATATGGAGTTTTTTCCATTGTTAGTTCGGTCACATTTGGATCTACTTCTTGTGGTATACATATGCATTCTTCATTGTTATCAAGTTTATATGAAATACCTTTCATCAGCTTTTCAAAAGTTTCTTTTGTTTTGGTCGTGATTATCCACCTTTGATAGAATTTATACACAGCTGCTATCTCATTTAGTGGTACGTTATTTCTTAAAATTTCGATCACTTCATCCCTTTCTGCCCATGATTTTCTTTGCAATTGGATTGAGATTGTATTGTCTATCTTTACCCGAAACAGACTTTCTTCATCACTTCTAGTCTGTCTAGTTGACGCTTGTGCCGATACCGGCACCTGTATTTCTGGATATCTAACTGGTGGGTAAATATTGTCATCTTCTTTCTCTTCTGCATCTTCGTTTTCTTCCATATTCGTCGTAGGTTGTTTATATCTTGGTTAAAAAACTGAAGGCTTTAACCAAGCCGCAAAATCACCCCTTCTCCCGAGTGATAACGACGTTTCGTTGTTTTCTGAGTCAGACCCGAAAGCAGCCATTACGTTGACTTCTCTTTTTTAAATCATTTGCCGGTGGTGTTGGCGAGAGTCTAAAAAATAACAAAAACCAGTAGTCGTTAGTAACTTCAATAAGTATTTAAAACCTACTAACATTTGAGGCTTGAAGTTAAACACCACTGCACTTTTGTTTGTTGTTAACTATGTCTATGACAACTCAACACATTCGGACAGTTTTTATTTGTGACGTCACAGGGACAAATGGTTTACGAGTATTCATCCCTGAAGATTGGTTCGTTCGTGTGCAAAGCTCAACATCGATTCAGACATCAAGTCCCGTTTTGTAAGTCAGGTTAGGTTAATTTTATATATACGCTGTTGCTTAATTTAGGAGAGAGTTCTACGTGGATATTGTGATATGTGCTTGCCGTTGAACATATGCTAACAGCACAACAATGCCGGATTAATCGACATTGGACTACTTTAATTTCGACGTATAAGTGCACAGAGCGCCGGAGCAATGGAGGCAGGTCAGTGTACTATAGGATAAAATATTCCCATCATATGTTCGTAGCTGATTACTGCGAAGAGTTGCAAACCGACCAACAGTTAACGTATTTGAACTACTTCCAAAAAATTGAAAAGGATTACTAATATTTGTCCCGGGGTAAAGGAAAGTCGATAAGACGACTTAACCATATGGCGAACCACGGCCTCTCGTCCGGTTACCAGTCTATGTCGGGTATGGGATTAGTTAGTTATTTGTTTTTCGGAAGCATGGACTTGAGTCCAACAAATATTTGACTCATAATTAACTGAAGGCAATCGAACCCGGGGGAGAGGAAAGTCGCAATCAGACATAATGATAAAATATGTCATGTATGCGACTTTTTGCCCAGCGGTGACGTTAACCACCCTTGGGCGGCGAGGAGTTCAGCAATCACCTCCCTGCGACCCCGCGCATGGTAATCAGAGCTGCGATGGCAAGCGTATTCTTAACGCTTAGCTTGGACACTATGCCATACCTCAGAGTTGAATAAACTACGTTGTCGGGAACGCCCAAACAACTCGTTGTCAAGTGTTGATTCTAACTTGTTCACCAAGCAGTCACGTCCTATCCAGGGCCGGTTTCAAGCCGATTTGATCATATTGGGCCCCGCACCTTGACGCGCTAGGGAGTGTTTTTCTGCATTATGAAGTACAAAATACTACAGGAAACGTAAAATAAAACGTGAAATAATCTTTTTTATAATATTAAATTTGTTTTCAGTAAATTTGGTAAATTCATAAGTGCAGCGATGCCAATAACTTGCATCTGGCGAAAGAAGCTTTTCAAAGCTGAAACTAATTAAAGCATACTTGGCCTGCGGTTTCACAAGAAAGACTCGAAAGTTCGTCGATACTTTTTATAGGAAGCGAGATTGCTAAAGCTATTGAATTTGAAAATATTTTGAATGATTTTGCTAATAAAATGCTAGAAAAATCTTTTTCTAAAAGAGTATAATCGAATTGCCCGTTTAGCCTTTCTTGCCGTTAAAAGTAAAACAATAAAAGCATCAGCATTACCTTGAACTTTGTTTTAAAGCAAGTTTTGAATGTATATATTTTTTGGTTTGTATGTTTTTTATGAAATATATACACCCATAAATTTTACTATGAAGAGTAGGGGCCCCGCCATCAGATTTTCAATTGGGCCCCACAGTTTCTAGCACCGGCCCTGGTCAATCAAATGTCGTATAACAAAATGCATATGTAATTTTTAGAAAGTTTATGGTTTGTTTCATTAGTATAGGCCCAAATATATTTCATTTCACGTGTAATGACCCAAAGGCGATACATCAGGCTGCGTGACTGGAAAAGTTTTTTATTATAATCAGTATTTTCTATGAAATCCTTCTGTGAAAATGCAAAAACACTTCCACCCTTGAAATAAAATAAGGAATTAAGATTTGCACAAAAACGAAAATACTATAAAATAGCATGCGCTGCTTGAACACGTGAAATTTTAATCAGCCGAGATGCACTCGCATTAGGAATCTTTCGAATTGCGTAGATCTAATAAAACTTGAAACGTGATTTAAGCTCAAGTAGACAAATAAAAATACCATTTATAGATAACTCAGACATAACGAATAACGCGTTATTCACCACCATAGATACAAAATCTATTAATTTACCTATATATATTATCGTCGCTTTCCGTATCAGCTGGTATTTCTGTGTTCCCTGTAGTTTTTGAAACCGTCCGGTCACGCTATTACAATCCATGTTTTACTAGATGGCAATGAAATATGTTGCTTTAAATTTCATTCGTGGGCTTATGGGATTGGAAAAAAATAATTCCTTAATAAAGCGGCGCGCAAGCGTCACTTTGCACAGACTTTTATCATTAACGCTGAAGAGTGAGTCACTTTGTCGAATTGGAACCATGCAATAGGTAGCCAGCAATCGTTATTCGTTTAACTTTGCTGATGCTGCGAAAATCTTACCTTGACAGGTGGATATGCCTCATCATCGAATGTGAAATATGGTTTACTCGCCTTTCTTTTTGTTTTCGTTACATTAACAATTTATTGCACCAGGTAAATAACATTGCACACTAAAGATTGGGCAGATTTTGGGCAGATTGGGACATTGGCTTGGCGTAGGGAGCATATGAGCATGGGTACATTAAGCATTTACCCACCATCACCACATTGGGGGTAGATATTGGGTAGACTGAAAAGCATGAACTGTAGCTCCAGTTTCTTTCCATACCAAGTTGTTAGGAGAGAAACACTATATATGAAATTAAACATCATACATCAAAGAAACAAGTAAAAATCATGTTGAAAAATATAATTAATTATGGGTAAGTGTGATGATGCACAACACTCAGTAAAGTTTTTAACAAACTAAAATGTACTTTTACTGAATCATAAATATTGTTTTCAAAATCTACGATTATCAGTCAAACTAGATATTATGGGGATTTTAGAAATTCTTGTTTTCAAATTCTGTTCAAGCTTTTTAAATTAAATAAGTTTCATTAAAGCAGCTAATTTTTTCAAAAACATAATTCTATTTATCAGGCTTTAAAAAAGTTTAAATGCTTTTACATGAATATACGACGAAATGTAAATTTATCTCTCAAATACTAAAGCAAACAAAGTACAAATTACATGCATTTGAAGGTAATTGATTTGCATATTAGAGAATAATAGGCTTCAAGTATCAAAAGGAAATTATTTACACAGATACAGGAATATATATAAAATGCTACAATAGAAATGGAAAAATTAACCAAGCTCTAACTAGGATTTAGTAAAGCACAATGGCTGATATTTTTGAAAAACAAAATGTACACATGTATTACAGCTGATAATGATGACAATTAATTTCTACAGAAATAAGAATTCAAATAAAACAATATTTCTAAAACTAACAAACTAAAATAGCAAATTAGAGACAATTAGAAAGGAATAACTAATTATTAAAAAATAAGTTGAAGTATATTTCTGATGAAAAAGGTACATTGTACATCGAATAGATTAGAAGCTGTGATTGCATAAGTAGTTAGTTCAGTATTATATATAAACATCTCTTTATATGTATGAAATTAATATTATAATTTTATTGTCAGTTCTATGAGACTACTTATTTGCTCTTCCTTTTGAACAGTAACATAACTATTTCGTGTGCAGCAAAACTACTTAGGGTAATCACTTATAAATTTTATTACATTGAAGCCTACTGATATCTATATTTACTAACAGAGTTGATAATCAACCTGTATCACAAAGCTGACTGGTCCATGTATTATGTAGCAATGACTTGCAACATTAAGATTCAAATTAATGCAATAAAGACGATATAAAATAATTATAAAAGTGTAGTTGAAGAGAAAATTGCATATTTGATTTTCATGATTAGCACCAATGAAATAAAGGAAGAATTAAAGGAAAATATAATTATCTGTAGGCTGTAGCCAACAGAAGTAAATATGGATTTTAAATTACCATATATTAAAAACAATGTAGATTGCTGAATCATGACAAAATTTTCGAGTAAAAAGAAGGCCAATTGCGAATCTCTTTTCATGCAAAATAAAGCCATATATACAGCTACATCTCAAATAATATAATAACACCAATCATGGCTAGCAAGGTCGAACTTTAATGAAAAAATAAAAATTCAATATATTGAAAACTTATCAGTGGGATATTTGAATTGCACATTTGAAAAATCATAATTATACAGGCACCACTCAAATAAAAGTTGAAAGCATATAGTAGAAAAAGGCATTGGAAAAACTAATGGAGTGTAATATGGTGGTATCCTTTGGTTAATTACAGCTTCTGCCACCAATCAAGTTCATGATACATCGGAATATAGATCAGATTTCCGTAACCAGGCTAATAGCGGAGTGCTCAACTAGCCTTCTCTGCCAGGATAAATACAAAACTTGTATTTAGCAATGAAATAAGCAGACTAGTTAGAGTAAAACTTGTGAGAAGTATTCAAATTTCAAAAACTTGGCTCAAAGCATCTTTTTTTCAATAAACACAAAAATACTCTTTACTTTTTGTAAAGTAGTAATTGAGATGGAACTGATTAATAGTGGAAGAATAAAATGTATAAAAACGGGTCAAATATGCAAACGAAGTGAGTAACAATACAAGAGTCTGGAAGTCAATCTACAAATACCGTATTTGCTCGTTTTGTAGCCCGGGCCCATATTTTTTTCAACCAACTCACTAACCGGGCCCTTATTATGACCGGCCTTCATTCAAGCACGGGCTCTTGTTATTTTAGATCGTTACAATAATTAATTTATTGTTATTTCCAGTTCTCAAGTATGATTTAAACGAGAATAAAAAATTTTGACTGCTTCTACGCACCGCAGGTACAAATCCGCAAAAGAAGGAAGTTTTGCAACGCGCTATCAATATTGAAACGACGCAATTGGGCGTCGCGACGCCGAGTTTGGGAACCATGGTGTTACATAATCAATGCTATCTGTTATGTACTTGAACGCCTAAGGCGTGAGTGTTATCTACCGGCGCTTAAAACTTAAACAGCGTTGTGACGAAAGCGCTTCTTATTTCCTATTGTTCCCTACCACTGAAAAATCAGCTTTTACGTCGGGCGGGTATTCAAGCACCGGCCCTTATGTATTTTTATGTTCTGTTCACACGGGCGGCTATTCAAACGGGCCCTTAATCAAGATCGGGCGGTAAAACGAGCATATACGGTATATACATATATGCATAATTATCATGGAGTTGATCAACAATAAAAGGATGAAACAGATAAAAACCATGAAAAATTGAGAAAATATAAATTGTTGGTTTTGAAAATTCTGACTAATTCACGTTGATTAACAGTATAGAGTTTGATTTAAAAACGAAAGGTTGAGTCAAATCCGACTGATATTGCAGTTCATCAAACATTATAATATTCAGTAAGTGGCATAATGGAATGGTTGATAATGACAATATAAAATCAATGGAGGGGTTTTAATATTATATTGTTCATGTAGAGTCCAACGTCCATTGTTGATTTTGTATTGTTAGTATTCAATTCCTACACAACTTTTACAAGATAGCTACCTGTCTGGTAGGTTTAGATGAATTTTCCACCCCGTTCAGGCAATTTAGGGTCTGTTTGGGTAATGACAGGAACTTATTTTTTATCACTGTATCCCCAAAGTTTGCTGTTTTATCTTGAAAATTGCCTTGAGATATATAAAATGTCTTTTAAAGATGTCTTGAAAATTCCCTTTAGATATATAAAATGTCCTTTGAAGATATCTTGAAAATTGCCTAAGATATATAAAATGTCCTTTAAAGATATCTGAGTCAATCTGACTGATATTGCAGTTCACCGAACTTTATAATATTTATAAGTGGCTTGATAATGACACTTCGAAATCAATGGATGAGTTTTAATATAGTATTGTCCGGATAGTGTTGAGCGTCCATTGTTGATCATCTACTGTTAGTATTCAATTCCTGCTGCCTCTTAATTTCGCCTTCAATGCATCAAGAAGTTTATCGAGATGGTCATCATCAGGATATCCATTGCTGAAAAAGATTAGATTGCATGAGAGATAATGGTAGTTGCATATGAGTCTGATTTCAATTAACTGTAAAAAATAAGATGTTCGATAAAAGAACACTGAAAGTCACAAATATTTGACTCTTTAGTACTGAGGAATGCTTAACTTAGCGATGCCTGTGTGAGTGGGATTTGAATGTAAGGTTTTGATGTGTAAAAAGAATGTCAAGTCAACTTTACTCGTAGGTAGAGATGAATGTCTAAACAGGTAATTTTTTCAGGTATTTGATTTCATTGATACTGTACTAAAATATGAAACATCAAAATCACTAACTAAGCCCAACACCTTATCCGTGGTGCAATGGAAGGCTTCGCCAAACATTGATCCTTTTAGAGTTTTGAAACCAAGTAATGCCTTAAAGTCTAATTGTCTGCTTGAACAGAGCACTGATCAAATTGCAGTTGTAAAACCACCAAATAAAATATATATTCGTGATGCGCGATGGCATAATAGTTGAAGCGTTAAACTTAATTGGGTTGGCATCGCAAACTGCACATCTTTGGTTTAAATCCAATGGCCATCACCCTACCCAAAATATTGAGTAGGCAATGCTGAATCAAAAAAGAAACTAGTTCTGCTAAATATTAGTAGCTCCTTAAATATTGCCACATATCAGTGGAAGCTTAAACAGGGCTTTGTTCACAGCAAAATGTGTGGTTAAGCGCCGTATATATAAAAACTCAAAGGTCTCGTTTATAATAGAATTTTAAGAATAAGCAGTGTAAGTGTAACTATAATTTATATGTTGGATGCCCCATGAAACTTTGACAACAGAGAAGCAGAAAGTTTAGTCGTTACTGGAATACGGATCAAATAGTTACAAAATTGGGCAATCATAATTTCAATGACTGATGTGGCAATAGAGAAACCTAGTAAACAACAGCTGGTCGTTAAACCTGGTTACAGTCACAATGCAGACAATTCAAGCCTGAATACCATAATGGTTGATTCTGATTGTCACTAAGAAATTACCCTCAGTCACATACACCCTAACATTTTGCAACAGCATGACAAATCATGGTCAATATTTATCAGGAATAGTAAGAATGCTTCCTGGCCATCCTTCACCCATCAACTGAAATTTGATGGATGCGATGGGTTCTTATATATAGCCTTGTTCAAAGTGAACGGTGTATAAAAGATGTGTATTAACAAATTCAGATGTTGCTTGAAATCAAGAGAGGAAAGTTGAGAACGTGAGAACGTTGTACTTGGTTTTACCTAGGACGAGACAAGATATATGTGCTTGAGTGGTTACAAATGTCACAAGCTGGATGGATGGTCATGGGATCAAAACTGCGACCTAAACATGCCTTTCTTTGATTTATATATAAGAGTTTGTGTTTAATACAAATCATGACTTTTTGTGTGAAAGTCCGTTTATCTAACTTTGCATGGAAGGTCAGTTTGGTAAATAAATATTGCTTTGGTTGAACCTAATTTTTGCAATCCATATTTTAAAAATCTTAAATCTCAAATTTTGTTTGAACTAATTTGTTATTACATAATTACTTCATATAACTTACTCGAGGTTCCTTTTAATCCTTATAATAATTGTACAGATTATTCAACTAAAGAACTTACTTATCTGGACCTCCACGTTTGTTAGTCTTATGAGGAATTTCATCATTCCATATTATTTTTCCTCTGCTGCTTCCAATTATCTGAATCTTGAAGAGCAATTCTGCATTGAATGCTTTCCAGAGCAAGTTCTCAAGGTGGGGGGTTAGCAGGCAAATATTCAGTGAACTTCTTTGCCCCATATGAAACACCCTGCAAAAATAAACATCTCTAGGTTATTCAACTTCTATATCTGATAATTTATTAAAACTGATATAAACACAGGTGCTCCAGAAGTATGTGAATCAAGATGTCGCAGAACCTGAATCCTGACCAGTACACACATACTGTGTTCAGGTTGTGCGCCATCTTGGTGCATTTGATATGATTGTATGATTTGATTGTGATTTGATAACAAAACATTCGATTTCTAGGTCAGGAGGAGGGAACACATTTGAACCAAAGATGTTTTACATGTGCAAACAAGTAAAATATCCTCAGGAAACACATAATCAGTGGCATCTTGTTCAGAGTTGCCTTTACATGACATTTATTTTAATTTTTCAAAAAAGAAATCAAACATAATATATCTATTATTGGGAGCAGAGTTAGAATATGACGACACTAACATATTACTGACACACAAAAAATCCACTGATATGTAAGAGGTTATTTATGAAAAAACCAAAGGACCAACATTTTTTCAAGCAGAGCATTGCTTGCCAATTTATATACATCGGTGGTGAGATCGTCGATCTGGGATTTGAAGATTAATGTGATGAGAAGTAGCCAAACTACGTTGGCATCACAGGTTAAAAATCCTGGATTCAAGCACATTACTCAGTGCATAATGAAATAGGTAGGAGTGTAAGATAAATTAGGTGACAATGCAACCAGACAGATTTCAGTTCTACAATAAATAGTAGTGCCTTGCGTATTAGTGGCTGCTCATACATAGCCTTGTTTGAAATAAAAGACATGACAAACGTTTCATAGAAAAAATTCATATGGTAAGTTTGTCATTTTAGGCGTTTGGAATCTTATAGTCAGACAAAACTATCAGACTTAAGATAAATTGTGATGATTATTGCCAAAATAAAATACCTAAATTACTATTTCATATAAATTCTTAAAATAATATCTTTTTCCGATATTGAATATATTTCAAATTGGGCCATGTCCAACAAGAGTCTGTGAAAATCACTGTACAATTAAAGATGTACCGATACCACTTTTGTCGCCGATACCAGCTAAAAACGCCGATACCGATACTATGTAATTATTACCTGATAAGGTGTGCTGTGTAGGACGGACGGGTTAAAACAATGGTCTTTGAGCGTTGTTCATAGTACACATTATTTCAGATCGAAAAAAAAAAGATATATCACATAATATGAAATTAATGTTTGGTGTTTGCTTTAACTGATTAAGATACATTGTACAGTAACGCTAGTAATCTCAGTGTTCAATTAGAAAACTCATAAGCCGGGATGTCCAATTTGAATTTAATGTTAATATCGCTCCTTCGAATTTCGTTATTCGTGTTTAAAAGAATATCGAATATCACCCACACAGTCTAGGGCTAGGCGGTCATGTCAATATATCTATAAAGTAATTGTGTAGTTAAACAAAAATAAAATTAATTAGAGGGATAATTGTGTCGGAATTTAGTTTATCGATGTCGACGGACTAAATGACACTTGTACTTGACGACAAACAGTCAGAATTTATACCCGTGCCAAAAGGTCATGTGCCGTTAATAAGGACCCCAATTCCACTGTATGATTCAAAACTGGGCGCCTAGTTGCTTTATGTTACGTGCTGTGTTGATATATTTCTTCATAATTACTATGTAATATTAAAAATGTCAATATAAAAATTTGACAGCGAAAATAGCCAAATTAGTTGAGCTAGTTTGGCTGATAAATATGTTAGCTAAAAACATGTGAATCCTATTCTCTCGCGGGGGTGGGGACATGTATGGCTCATAGCTCACGATCTCTCCAGACAAAAAATGAATTAAAAAGTAGTATTCCAACTTATCTTTTAAAACATTCTGGACCATATTTCTTCAATAATCAAATGCTTTGAAAGACAAATTTTGAAATGAAAACCTCAAATCAAGAATTTGCTCTATGTAATATAAACAATTGTGAATATATTCATTTATTTTGGACATCAGCACTGGTAGAGATAAATTCTGCAAGGGGCCATTAAACCAACATAAAAAAACTGCTTTCTGGAACATCGGAAAAAAAATTTCTAGAACATCTAAGCACTAAGGTGTTGTGATGGCCTTGTGGTTATAGCATTGGACTTAGCTATGTTGGATCATAATTTGAAGGTCTCAAGTTCCATGCCAACTGCCTTATCCAGGATGTAATAACTTGAGTAGGCAATGCTGAAATGAAAAAATTACATCCCATCCAAAAATAATAGCTTATTATGCATTAGTGGTTGCTTGTGCCCTGTTTAAAGTGAACAATATAATAACAAAGGTGTAATTAAAATTCAATTGCTATTTGGGGGCAGAAAAATTGTATTTGGAAGATTTAATTTTAAACATAGAATCAATGTAAATTAATACAACAAGAATCTTGGTTTCAGAAAATACATGATTTAATATTGAACCAATTAAATTCATTACATGACTCACATTCAGACTTCCAGCAGGGAATGAGTAGGAGATGACATAAGTGCTCCACCCTTCATATCCTGGCAGTGATTCATCCAATCTTTCCACTGTCATTCTTCCACCAGGTGGTTGTTGGTTGATGGTTCTTAGACCAGATGAAGTAGCTTGACTTGAAGACTGAGATTCTGTAAATTGAAAAATTATTTTAGTGAAATGGATTAGGCAGGATTCAAGTTATACATATTGTGATATTACATAATACATTAACGAACAACTTTTTTGTAATTTTTAAATCCATGAAATCCGTAAGTCCCCATACCCAATACTCAGCTCAAGTTGGATATTATATTTTACTAATGCTTTTGGATTTGAGCAGTATTGAATTTTTTTATATGACACTTAAATACATTTTCGCGCTTACCTCTGTTATAGACACTCCCTGGGCAAGCCGGGAGTCGAGTGAAAATTCAGCAAATAAATCTTGGTCTCTTGGCACCAAAAAGTGGGAGCCACTGATATGAGAGGATCTACTATTATTTGGAAAAAAAGGCATTGCCTACCCCAATCTGTTACACCCTGGTGAGGTAGTGGGTGTGGGATTTTTTTCAACATCGTTACTTTCAAATCATAAATACCGGAAACTCGAGCAGAGTGAAAGTCACCCATTTTTTTTTATTTTTTTATGTTTTCAATGAATTATCACAAAGTTCAGAAATATAAAACAATAAGCCAGATATAAATGATCAATAGTGATTTATTGCTCAGTGCTC